TCGGTTGAGCCGGTTGTCCATTTGGGCTATTCCCGTAAGAAGTTGTTGTTGACCCTCCAGAAGTTGTTGAAAGAAGTCGGGTGGTGGAGGGTTTTGGCTTTGTTCTGGGAAATCATGGCTCATGTTTGGATGGCTATGGAGTTGCTCGTAGGGCTCGTCATCGGGTTGGTTTTGGGGGAGTTCCTGTTCCGGTTCTTGAAGATGTGGTGGGAGGGCGTTTGGGAAGAGGTAATGTTGATCCGGCCTGCCTGTTTTGAAGTGGAGTTGGGGGAGGTCTGGGTTGGGCAAGAGGAAGTATTTGAGGGGTTTGGGGTGGATGTGCCAGTTGTACATATTTTTGGGCCTTTCTTCACCATAAACGGTGTGTGAAAAAGAAGTACAGCCCGAGTGGCCTAGCCAAGATATGTTCATTAAACAGTAGTCGGGTATAGGAGAGTCATCCGTATACCCGAACTTTGTGGCCAAGTGCATAATCACCCCGCCCACTACGATAGCACCCTTTGCCACACTTTCCTTCTTTAGATGAGCCCACATGAGATTACAGAGGTTGAAATCCACGTGGATACGGAATAAGGCAACCGAGATGAGGCATACATCCCCCATCCTTGTATGATGGTTGTTGGGACGTCCAAGCAAAGAGTTGGCAAGGAATTTCAAAAAGAGGCGTAGGACTGGATGTTGGACATGACTAATGTATAGTTGGGAGGAGCTAAATTTGGTCTCCCCGGTCATCTTGGTCCATAGGGTGTGGCCGAAGGCGGTATTGTCGGATATAGACTTTTGGTACGGGACCGGAATACCAAAGTGTTCGGCAAACTCAAGTTTCGTGATGGTGTGATTGTGATTAAACAATCGAAACCTGAGTTTATCATCTCTAAAGTCCTCCTCATTGTTCTCAAAGTGCACCGAGCTTAGGAATTCATAGATAATTTTTTCATTGGAGTTGTATTTCATTTTGAAAATTTTATCCATATGCAACTCATGAAAAAATTTCTTCATTATTGTGTATACTCCTAATTCCTTTAGAGCATCAAGGCATAAAAAGCGGGAAGGTTTGACTTGCCTTTCAATTGTGGACAAGAAGCGTGTGCGTTGTTCGTTGTCCACGAAAAGGATGTCCTCGTAGCCCGGGATGATTGTCCTAGTGCTTGAGCTCTGCCCTTTCTCTTTCCTTGGAGCCATTTGAAGTGATTTTGGCCTTTGAAAACCGAAATTGGAATGGTGGGGGTAGGGTTTTTCGGACCTCTGAAAGTTGGGGGAGAATGGGATTGTTGGGTATGAATGTGTAGAGGAGGATGAGGGGAGTGTTTTGGCGTTGGAATGGGTGGATTTGGTGAAGATTTGGAAGAGATATGGTAGAGAGAAGGTGTAAAAATGGGGTTTGGGCGTTTTTTGTTCGAGATGGGGTTGGGAATTTGGAGAAGATGAAGTGTTTTGGGGCTGATTTGGGGTTATAAGACCCGTATACCCGATCGAGTATGTGCTGGTACTCGGTCGGGTATGGCTGGAAAGTGAAGTTTTTGAGCGGCCTGCCTCCTGTACTCGATCGGGTATGGTGGGGTTACCCGGTCGAGTATGCTTAGAAAATGAACTTTTTGAGCAGCCTGTCTCCTGTACCCGGTCGAGTATTCCGCCATACTCGATCGGGTATGTGCTTTTTTTTTCATTTTTGAAGCGTGTACTCGGTCGAGTGTGGGAATCAGTCCCCTTCAATTTTAGCATTTCTAGCGATACCCGACCGGGTGTATAGTGATACCCGATCGGGTATTGCTTATTTTTCAAATTTTGAATGCTCCCTCGATCGAGTAGTGCCCGGTCCCTTTTCTTCTTGCTCATACCCGACCGAGTATAAGGTTATACTCGATCGGGTATGTCCCCAGATGTTCAAAAACCTGCAAAAAATTTTTTATTTCTTTTTTTCCCAAAAACCCATGATTAGTGCCCTCCCTCTCAACCTCTCAAAGACATAATTGAAAACATTGACAGGGGGGGTTAACAATAAAAGAAAAATGTACCTTGCTTGGGTTGCCTCCCAAGAAGCACCTTAGTTAACGTCGTGGCACGACGTTATTCATTCTTTTTTTTTATGTGGGATCATGAGTATCCCTTGTTTCACTTTTTAAGGCCCTATTTGGCCATTTTTCATTTTTATTTTTCGGCCTTTTCCAGTAAGGCCGGGGTTTCTTTCTCAAAAGACATCTGATTTTATCCGCTTCTTTGAAAAACAGCGGTTCTTGTGGTTCAACAACATGTAAAGAACACAGAGTTGGATTTTGCATTTGTTTTTTCGTAGAGTCCAAGATGTTGAAATCCACTTTTTGATCATCGAACTCTAAAGTTAGTGAACCACTGGAAACGTCAATTTTTGTTTTTGCGGTCTTCATGAAGGGTCTACCCAAAAGGATGGGTGTTGTTTGGTCATCAGTTCCCATTTCAAGGACATAGAAGTCAACAGGAAAGACCATATTTTCTACTTCTATTAGCACATCTTCTACTACACCCCTTGGGTAAGTACTAGAATGATCTGCCAATTGAATCACTACACCTGTCTGATGTAGTGGGCCAAGTTGTAGAGTTTTGTAAACAGAATAGGGGATGACATTTATAGATGCCCCTAAATCCAACAAGGCCTTAGGAAATGTGGTGTTTCCTATTTTGCAAGGGATAGTGAACATGCCTGGGTCGTTACATTTTTCGGGGAGTTTCCTCTGAAAAATGGCCGAGACGTGTTCACTAACTCTGAAAAATGGCCCATCGTCCTCGAAGCAAGGTTCAACCCCAACGGCCTCATCGGTCCAAATGTAAATCTCAACCATCAACGTCCAAGAGAGGGAAAACGCGCCTTCAACGGCCACCATCGAAGCAGGGCACTCATCGTCCCCAAACGGACACCCCAAGGAAACAACGCCCCCCCGTCCACAACAAGGAGCAGGTAACGGCCAAAGCACGGAACAAGATCACCGAAATGAAGACAACGCCAACACCGCAACAGCTAACGGCCTGGGAGTGCCCGCATCGGCCAAAAGCACCAAAGCGCGGGAATCTACTCTCCTTCACTTCGTCTACGTCTCAGCTTAGAGAGTGGGGGACTCCTGATGGAGTATATGGGTCTGAGCCCCAGGACCCACATACTCAGAAGAACAGAAAGCACAAGACTCTGAGTGGTGTCCTCGTCGGCCAAGGGACCCCCGTCGGCCGGGAAGGTACCAACTCAGAATATGGTCCTGAATCCAAGGAACCCGAGTGCCCTCGTCGGCCGTGCCCTCGTCAGCCATGCCCTCGTCGGCCACGAAGACCTCACAGAACCGGATGTCACACTTACTCATTTGTACAGCCCATTAGTGGCTTTGTATTCGACCCAGTAGCGGTCCAGTTGTAAATGAGCCTCCCAAGCCCAAGGCTTGGGAGCCCAGCCCGTATTTTCTCTATAAATACTCCCCTTGGGAGTAGTTATAGGGGTTACAAATTCATTCTATTGAAGCATATTATTGCACTTCTCTCTCTAGCTCTCACCTCTCTCTAGATATACTCTATCATATGTGTGTGTGTGTGTGTGTACCCATCAACATGCATAAATATAAAAGAAAGATAATCCCAACATCCATGAGGTACACACAATGAGTCATTAAGACCTAATTTGGTTAGTCCAGTGTTTTAGTCAATTTAATCAATGGTTCACAATGACTAATTTAAGTGCGTACTCCAAGGAGTCCAAGCATCATATTGCACACATAATTTCATTTTTTTACTCCGGGGGGGGGGGGGGGGGGGGGGGGCTGAGGGAGGGGTCCTGGGGGTCTGAAGTAATGAGGGCTGAAACTCTTTCCATTGAATTTCAAACCCTTATGTGCTTAGCGGGTTTAGAACTCGAGACCTCCCACTCGAAACCTCACAACCTCACATAATCTCATCTAAATGAATAATTTTTAATGATCAACTCAACTTAACTGTAAGATAAATGCTAAAGAAACAAAAATGAGATCATAGGTAGTAATACTTATCTTTTAACAAACTAAAACTATCTCACACAAATACAAATATTGATTGAAAAAGTAATTCTTACCAAAATGGAAATGGATTTGGTGTGTGTGACTTGAGTTCCAATGACTCATTTTGTCAATGGTGCATGCAATACATTAGACAAAAACATGATAGGATGTAGAGAAATAAATCGAAGTTATCCGGCACAACAAATGCATCAGGATGAATCAAAAGTACACCGATCAGTTTATATACAATGGATTAAATAGGAAAGCCGTATTAGAATACAAATGAAGATGAAAATAAAATGTTAGATTCAAGATCTTAGGATAAAAAATGTCAAATGTGGACAAACTTGAAGAAGAAAGTTAAGTGAGAATGTGTTAATTAATTCCCCCGTCCCGCAAAATAATTCCCGATTTTATTTTTCGGTCGTCCCAAAAAATAGTTCTCATTTTCCTTTTTAGATTTTTTGTGTGTGGCTCAAACTTATCTACCTTTTTCTTACTCAACTACAACATACATTTCCACTTTATTTTCACTTTCTTAAAAAAAGGATGACACCCCATCCCTGAGGCCCACCCAACCCCGACCGAACGGTACGTTGGGAAGATGTAATTTGGACTATAATCATAATTTGACAGATAGAGAGTGAAGCTCTGTCCCCAGTACTTGCAGAGGCCATATGCATTTTTAGCATAGTAACCTCCAATCGCAGTTGCCGAGATTCGAATACGAGACCTAACCGTTATGGCACTCTCTTGCTACCAGTTGAGCTACGTCCACCGGTCACTTCTTAAACTCCGATCCAAGTCAAGCGGAAATTATTTTATGAGACGGAGAGAGTAATTAGTTAAATAGACAAGATGACCAATTTAAGTGCCCGTAATACCCTAAAATCAGGGATATTGTGACTTGAATTTTTTCACAAAATGATGTAGAATAGGATTCGGAGTCTAAAAAGGATGCACAATCTAAAAAATTCAAATCACCCAAAAAGGTAAAAAAGTGGGGTACAATATGAATTGGTCTTCAGCCCAAGGTGAGACGGGTATCGTCGTATTACCATTCCCCGCGGAACCTCACTTGATATATATACACTCGTCTTTTGCGCTCCATGATCCGCAATTCTGTGAACATAAACGATATTACCAAAACCAGTTTCATCTTCGCTTCGTTCCCAGTTCTCCGAAATCACCGCAGTTTTCTGTTCATTTCCTCTCTCTAGGCGGAGCTGATGGGCAGGCCACCGAGCAACGGAGGTCCTTCTTTCCGATTCAACCCTACCGAGGTTTTTCACTTTATCCTCCTGTATTTATGTATTCATTCTCTATTTATGCTTCTTTCTTGATTTATTCGTGCACCGGAGGTCCTTCTTTCTTGATTCAACCCTGCCGCTTATGTAATTCGGTTTATTACGGAGTATTAGGTTACATCAACAAATAATTCATTCTCATCTTTATTAAGTATGTTGAAATCAAACCACATAAACATAATTTCAACTGATTAAAAAACTAATACTAAGCGGCGAAAATATTCTTTTATGCATCACCTAATAAATTGCTCTACAATTCGAAGTCTGATCTTACTCAAGTGATTGGAGCTCCAAGGATGTGCACAAACAACGTTATAATTACCAATGTGGAATGTACATAGGAATTAAAATGCCATTGAGCAAGTAAATGGCGTAATTTGACAACAGCTTTCCTACTGAAGCCAATAAACTGATCATTGCTGGCAACTCACATATGAGTGTGCGTGCATCTGTATGCCACGAATCCCATTACAAGCCAAAACACACAATCACTTCTTTCTTGTGAAATTGGAAAACCTAAATTGAACCTTAGCTTTTGCACAATCTATCAGCTGGATAGATTATAGCTATATTGAGAATTGAGAATTGAGATGGAAAGTCATGAAACAAAGAATCACTGACTGTGTTAAATAATGAGTTATTTATTGTCTGTAATCCTTTAGGTTGCTGAGATGGAGGCTGTTTTGCAAGGACACAATACTCAAGTGCCTGCTCGTGAAGTTCTTGTGTCTCTTGCTGAAAAATTTAGGTACATACACAGCTATACCTAATTGGTAGGGTAGTTCTAGTCCCTCATTTAACGTGTAATCTGGTTACATTGTAATGTAACTTAACCACATTTGTTTTAGTGCTTCACCCGAGAGACGTGGAAAGTTTGTTGTTCAGATGAAACAAGTAAGTGGCTGTCATTACAAATTGTTCCAATTAAAGAGTATTCATTTCCTGATTTTGTCATGCTATTGGTTCCAGGTATGGAATTGGTTCCAGAACAGGCGATACGCTATCAGAGCAAAAACATTTAAGGCTCCCACTCCTCCCAGTAAAGTTACTGCTCCTGTAATGCCTCAAAGTGAACCAACTATTGTAAGAACAGTCCCTCAGGTTCCCCAACCTTCCCACCCTGCGGCAGGTGAAGTCTATGGCGTCAATTCAGTATTTTAATCATCATATGCTTTATTTATCACTATGTTCTTGTATTATTATTGAATTATACTATTGTATGCGTTATTAAGTCACAGTGAAACCAATGACCCAAGCTCATCAGGGACCTCAAGCCATTGCTGCCCCATCAGGTTGGATTGTTGAGTAAACTTTACTTGAAAGGTCACATTTTTCCATTTTATAATGCAATTCCCGCCAATGACATTACATGATTAATCTGTAATGATTATAACCTTAATTATTATATTTTCATTGAAAATGTGTTTTCTATGACCAGCAAGTGCAGGTAGGAATGGTTCAGATAACTCGCAAATGGAGTTTGAAGCAAAATCTGCAAGGGATGGTGCATGGTTAGTGTTTTCTGTTTTGAGGAATTCAATAGCAGCTTCCTTTAGTTTTTATATGACATGGTGGTTTTTCAAGTGTGGAACTTAGGATGTTTTTACTTGGACTGTAATTTGCTGGTCTGGTCTGGTCTGTTTTAGTCTGGTCTAGTATGGTCTGAAATTTTATTTTTTATATTTTTTGTATACAGATTTTATTTTTTATATATATATATATATATATTATAATCCATAAATAATTATATTTTATTCGTTTATAATTAAAAATATTAATATTCCTTCCAAATTATCGAAAATTGTTATCGTTTTACTTGGATTGATTCAATCCCAGACCGAAGCAGAGCAGACCAGATCATACAAATACAGAACAACTCAATATGATGATGATGATGATGATGATGATGATAATAAGAGAGATTTACCTAAATAGGAGTAAATAAAAGGATAATTGCAACAATAGGAGTTTAAAGTTTAAATTCCCAAAATAGGACTAACTCTTCCTATTCTACCCTTTCCTTTGTCCTTGATAATAGGATTTTTAAAAACTCATTATAAAATATAAAAAAAATCAGAAAAAAAATCGTAAAAAATAAAAAATAAATATATTTCTCAACCAACACCTCAGCCACCTTCCAGCATTGTCACCTCCGGTCACCGGAAAAGATTGTCAAGTTGGGGAAAAAATGTCATCATGATGGCAATTTTGAAGAGAAAACAAGAGAAAGCTGGATATTTTCAAAGAGTAAAAATGTCATCTTTATGGCATTTTCAGAGAAATGTGGAATTTTTTACACAAGATGGCATATTTTTCCGGAGGAGGCGTTGGCAGTGACCTACATAATTTTTAAATGTTTTGTAGGTATTTTATTTTATTTTTTGGACTTTTTAAAAAAATTAAATAATTTATTTATTATTTTTAATTTATTATTTTTATTTTATTTTTAACGTTTTTCATTATTATTTTATAAATATTTTATGAATTTTTATATTTTTATTATAAATAAAACTATGATTTTCTAATTAATAAATAAATCTATTGAAAATTATAGAATGGGAAGAAGAGACATACATTAGTCTTATTTTGGGAATAAAAGGAGTGTACTCCTATTATTGAATTTTGGGCTTATTTTACTCCTATTAAGGGCTAATACCCGTAATAATAATAATAATAATAATAATAATAATAATAATAATAATAATAATAATAACAACAACAACAACAACAACAACAGGGCTGGGCTGGGCTGGGCTGGGCTGGACTGGACTGGACTGGTAAAAACAACCTTAGACTTACTTATAGACTGAAACTTTCTGGCCGGGTTTGATTTAGTGTAAGATTAGGTGTTGCGAGTTTGGTTTGGTATTATGACTATGATCTTCTCTGAGTCTGAATCAAGTCTAAAAAGGTCCTTATTGATGATTTGCCCTTATATATTCTAGGTATGACGTGTCGAAATTTCTCTCACATAAATCCATGGAAACTGGAGATCCTGTAAGTACTGCAGCTTACAGTTCTTAATCATCACTTTTCATTTTAGATGCTCGAACATCCCCTCATTTGCCAACCTAGGGTGAATTCAAGCACTGACTACTCTGCTTGGTTTTACTTGACCTTTGCAACTTCAACTGATGCATTTTTCTGATTGAAAACTGATTATTTTCCAACTATTCATTTGGGTGCACACCTGCACTATATTATCTTCTTTTGCCATGTGAGTAGAATTGACGATTTTGGTTTGAATATGATGATATTATCTTCTTTTGCCATTTGAGTAGAATTGACGATTTTGGTTTGAATATGATGATATAGAACTGTTCTCTTACCATACACAGAACACACACTAGTGTTATACGCACTACGTGTGAATAATGCCAAATATGAAGGCGTAACAAAACAATCTAATTCCACTACTTTTCTCAAAAGAACAATAAGAGAACTTTTTTGTATGAGCTCTATTTCATATGATGGCTTAACAAACAAGCACCATTAACATTTTTGTATGGGCTGTATCTGTATTGCACTATTGCTTCACATGTTCCTTAATCCTTTTTTTTATCATAAGCCTCTCTTTTTAAATGGTTGATACAATCACTTCATTTGTTATCACTTCAAAGTTCAAAAGGATTGATCCTTTTTCTCTCCTTTTTTCTTTTACCTTTTTATCTTCTTTATGTTTCGTATATGCGTTACCCTTTTATCATTTATATATATATATATTCTAATATTCTTTTTATCTTGTCATTTTATCTTTATCTGATACTTATATTTATCTTATCCTTTTTAACTTGCATTATCTTTTTATCTTATCTTTTTTTTTCTTTTTGGCTCCGATATCATGTATCATACATGTTGTATCATACATGTTAACCGACCCAAAAATCTTTTGGGATCAAGGCTTTGATGTTGTATCATGCGTGCATGTGTGTAATTAGTATGCATTGCAGCGTTAAATTATAATTTCAGTTAAAGAACCAATAAAAGCATGCGTTGTTTTATAGAATAAACGCTTAAACTAAAGAGTCATTTTTTAACTTCTTCATTGATGGAAAATGAGTTAAACAAGTAAATTTGTTATGTCATACAATTTATCTAGAACCAACCATACCAATATAGACATATGAATCGCTCTCTGACAAAATAGTGAAATACAACTCTATACCGCCACTTTTAAATAGAATGATTTAACACATGCTTTAACTTTTAATTACGTCAATGATCTTTCTTTGTATAACATGTCATGAATGAAAAAAATAAAGAGGAGATTAAAGGAGTTTACATGCTTTTATTTTAGATCATGTATTACTTCTTTCGTTGCACAATTTTCTTCCCGCTTCCATTTTTGGGATGTCTTGGAATTTTCTTCCCATTTATTTTAAGCAATGATTTATGTGATTAACATCCTGTCCCAATTTTCGACATTAATAACAACCATTTTATTCTTTCTTAATAAGGTTGTTAAGTAAAATAAAATTGAGAAGAATTTTTTGAGACAGATGTAATATTTTAATGCTAGCTCCGTGCATATTTAAATAATCTAATTTCATTTTCATTTACCCTAGTGCCGCAAAGGCTCCCACCTACGGTGGGGTAAGAGGGGGTCGGATGTACGCAGTCTTACCCCTGCACTAAAGCACAGAGAGACTGTTTCCGGATGACCCATAGTGAAAATCGCGTCCAAAATTGCATGGGCTGACTGCTGCTTCATAACAAAGAAGCACAGACAGTTTAGTGAGCCATTGTGCTTTATTCCATCATAATAATTTAATATTATGAGAAATTTAATTTTTGGAGCACGCACATTAATATAGAGTCATTGATGACCTTGTAGTAGATCAGAAAGAAGTGAAATAGAGCAGCCCGGTGCACGAAGGCATCCCTGCAAGGCGAGGGTCCGAGGGGAGGGTTCCACCTCAAGGGTGTATAAGGTGCAAGCCTTCCCTCGTCAAATCTTGACAAGAGGCCGCTCCCAAGACTTAAACCTGTGACCTCTCGCTCGCACAGCAACACCTAAACCGGTGCATCAAGGCTCCCATAAAGAAGTGAAATAGAACCCTAAATTACACTTTTAATAGTCGATGTGTTCTAGATTGGCGTGCAATTCACGAATTTTAAGATTGAGTGGGTGCGATAAACTAAAATCTTCCGTGCTGATATTCAAATCAATACTAATATAAAAATTAACATATTAAAAAAATACATAGAATAATTTATTGAAGTATAAAAATTGAATGTTATAAACATTAATACCCAGAATGAGAGTAAAAATGAATTGTGTTAGCCCAAAAATTAAAAATGTGTATGATTCTGAATGAGAGAGTAAGTTCAATAAATGAAGGGAGATGAGTATAGATACTTTATCGTTTGAACATTATGAGCCCATTTGCTAACCTCATTTTTCATCTTTTCTGTATTTTTTTGTGAAACATTGAAGTTCTAATTTCACGATAAGAACTTTGCAATAATAAAAAATAAGTAAGACTTGTATTCATTTACGATTGAATTGGCTGAAGAAGGCAGTTTTAATTTTTTCATATAAGTTATTCTTTGTTTTTTTTCCATCATTTGCAATGGAGCCAAAGATTAATTATTTTTTGGCTTGAGATTATGATGAAATAAAGTAAAATGGCTCACTAAACTGTTTGCGCTTCTTTGTTATGAAGCAGCAGTCGGTCCATGCAATTTTGGACGCAATTTTCACTATGGGTCATCCGGAAACAGTCTCTTTGTGATGTAGTACAGGGGTAAGACTGCGTACATCCGACCCCCCTTACCCCACCGTAGGTGGGAGCCTTTGAGGCACTGGGGTAAATGAAAATGATGAAATGAAATGAAGTTATTCTTTGAGGCACTTTATAAATTTTGAGAGTGGTTTTCCTTGCAGTTTGTACTGGTGAGGTTCATGTTAATCTAACTTCATTTTGAACAAAAATGAAGCCAAATATCTGTTTTTTATCAACAGAATTAATTATTATTTTATACGGTTAGATCTTAATTTTGTTTCAAAGGGCAATCGTACAGATTCACATTTCATCTTTAATACTTATTTACCGAGTATCTTCTAATTTTATTTTTGACAAGCGACGGATGAAATCTTTTCATTAACTTTTCTATATAATTTTTAAACTATGTAAAAAATCTATTGGCACGACTAATGCGTAAGGGATTAATTAGAGTACATGCTATTCTGCTTGTTTTTTATCTGTAATATTTAGTTCTGCTATCAGAGTGGCACTTGGAATTGACACATGCATCAATTTGGCATATTCATATATTGTTAAAATTTGTTTTGTAAATGGCAGTCGTGCTTTGAATATTTTATTCCAACTCTGGGATATTAAGATTGACTTCCGTTTGCATAAGGACTAACAGAAAAAACATCTGCCATTTAATTTGTTGGGAAACTGATCCTTTAATATTAAGGTGCACTTGGAATTGACACATGCATCAATTTGGCATATTCATACATGGTTATAATTTGTGTTGTAAATGGCAGTCATGTTGTGGATATTTTATTCCAACACTGAGATATTAAGATTGACTTCCATTTGCTCAAGGACTAACGCAAAAAACATCTGCTGTTTAGTTTGAAGGAAAATGGTCCTTTAAGATTAAGGTGCACTAAAGTCAGCATGAATTCCCTTTCTAACAGCTGAGGGAAAAAGGAGTCAAGGACTACTAACTCTCTGTGGCACTTATGCTGGTGTGCTTGTCATTTTGTATCCCATGTTATCATGGTCTGACTATTGCTTAATGACCATTTCAGGAAGTCCTTGTTCGATTTGCTGGGTTTGGATCAGAAGAGGATGAGTGGGTTAATGTTCGCAAAAATGTTAGGCAGAGGTCTCTTCCCTGTGAATCATCAGAATGCGTAGCAGTTCTACCAGGAGATCTAATCCTCTGCTTCCAGGTGTACTGTCTGTTTGTGTACAGTAGCTTCACAAACAATCACACAATTTCTGCTGCTTAAAAAATGGAATTTATGATATAAACTTGCTCTTAAACTCTTGACAGGAAGGTAAGGAGCAGGCTCTTTACTTTGATGCACATGTCCTTGATGCTCAAAGGCGGAGGCATGACATAAGAGGCTGCCGCTGTCGCTTCTTGGTCCGCTATGATCACGATCAATCTGAGGAAATCGTTCCTCTGAGGAAGATTTGCCGGCGGCCTGAAACTGATTATAGGTTAGAGCAACAAAATACCGATTCTGCCAAGCAGTCAAAAACCAGTAATGATCCTATTCAGACAGCCAACACTCCAACAGCTGAAGCAGCACACAAGCCACCACCATCATCATCCATCATATCATCTGGCAAGACTACTGAACCGATGGCCAAAAAGATGAAGACGGATGTGCATGTGTCTGTTTCAGCTCAAGTTGATGTCTCTGCCTCTACATTGAAGAACCCTAAGGCAGTGGAGCAACAAAAAACATTTATATATTCTCAAACTCACAATACCTTAAAGGTCTGTCCCCCAGCAGAACCCCCCCAAAGATTTACACATTCCGCTGAACCAACATTATCACCTTTGGCTGAACCAGCATTATTGCCTCAAGCCGGACCAACATTATCATCTCTGGCCGAACCACCACCTACGGCTGAACCAGCATTGCCACCCACAGCTGAACCAGCATTGCCGGCTCCAGCTGAACCAGCATTCTTACCTGTGGTTGAACCAGCATTGCGGTCTCCTGCTGAACCAACATTATTGCCTGCAACCAATCCACCATTAATTCCCCTGTCTGAACCAACATTGCCACTTGCGATTGTACCAGCATTGACACCTCCAGCTGAGCCAGCATTGCAGCTTCCGGCTGAATTAGCATTGCCTCCTCCAGCTGAATCAGCATTGGCACCTCCAGCTATGCCACCTCCTGCTGAACCAGCATTGCCACCTCCGGCTGAACCAACTTTACCGCCTCCAGCTGAACCCACTTTACCGCCTCTGGCTGAACCCACTTTACTCCCTCCGGCCGAACCAGCATTGCCGCCTCCTGCCGAACCAGCATTGCCGCCTCCTGTCAAACCAGCATTGCCGCCTCCTGTCGAACCAGCATTGCCGCCTCCTGTCGAACCAGCATTGCCGCCTCCTGTCGAACCAGCATTGCCGCCTCCTGCCGAACCAGCATTGCCGCCTCGTGCTGAACCAGCATTGCCGCCTCCTGCTGAACCAGCATTGACGCCTCCCGTCGAACCAGCATTGACGCTTCCGGCTGAACCAGCATTGACGCTTCCGGCTGAACCAGCATTGACGCTTCCGGCTGAACCAGCACCGACTCCTCTAGTGGAACCAGCATTGACTCCTCCAGTGGAACCAACATTAACGCCTCCATCGAAATCAGCATTAACGCCTCTGGCTGAATCAATGTTAATATCCCTGGTTGAACCAACAGTAACACCTCTTGCTGAACCAACTGTCATACCTCTGGCTGAACCAACTGTCACACCTCTGGCTGAACCAACTGTCACACCTCTGGCTGAACCAACTGTCACACCTCTGGCTGAACCAACTGTCACACCTTTGGCTGAACCAACTGTCACACCTCTGGCTGAACCGAATACAACAGCCCTTGCTGAACCAACAGCAACACCTCCTGCTGAACCAATGCCAAATCTTACATCCAAAGATACAGAGGAAGAGGAGAATGCAAATGTAGCACCTGTTCCTCCTATAATTTCTGCTCCCACACCATATCCAATTGAGACAACAGATGAACAGCTTAATCCAGAGAAGCAAGAAACTGCTGTTACTGCTGCTGGTAGTTCTACCCCCATCTCAAACCCGTTCGACAACGAAGGTGTATTACTCAATGATATAGAGAATGTCTGCACCGGAAGCAGGAGGGTTTCAGAGTCACCCCTTCAAGATGATTTTATGATAGATGGTCTTGAGGGTATGGATTATGTTTTTGATGATATGCTAGCCAGTAGCACTGACATGCTTGATGCCATTGGTTCCTCTGGTAGTTTGCAGCAATAGTAGCTGTCAGTAGTTCATATAAACTTGTAAAAAATAGTCTCTCAACGACTATGGTCGTTTTAGTTTAAAATAGGACACTGGTGTTTTTACTAAAAATCAGTTAATTTTTTGCAATTCTTTTAACTTTGTATTTCAGTTCAAGGCATTCATCAACCACGGAATATAGATATATTTTTGTGTAGTTTGAACCCCATCAAATCAGTTAAATCGTTCAATACACATTGTTATCTAATAGGCGAGCAAATTTAGTGAGCAACATGGTCATTATGGAGCACATAGATGTGATGAAGGATAAAGTGAAAGTATCTGCATCACACATTAGGCTAAAGTGAGTATCCCATACAACAATCCGTACCACAGCCACCTCGTTGTTCACGTCCTCATTATGGAATAGTGAGCTTATTGGCATATTCTTTCAGAGTAATACAAATAGTGATCTTGCTATTGAAGGTAAGGTATATCATATACTTCGTATCTTTTGTACGCTTGAAGATGAAGACGGTCATGTTTCTTTAAGCTAATTTACCTGATATTGAGGGTATCTCACGCGTTAAATACATTTAGAACATTATTCTGGTCCCGATTGTAAGGCGCAATACTTTTTTAACAAATTAATCGACAACTTTAAGGTATCATAAATCTTTTTTTTGAGGAAACGTCTTTACATGAAATTCATATAGCCAAAATTTGAGGAATTTGAGTTTTCATCATTCCACTAGTGAAATGTGTGTGTATGTGTGCGGGTATTATAAACACATGTAATATATGGTGAGTATATTAAAATATACAATTGGATCATTCAAAAATAAATAAATAATAAAATAATGACATGGATCAAATGATCAACCAAATGTATCATAGTTCGACACTATCATATATTAGTGAGGTAGCATAACATTTATCTTTTTAGAATTCATTAACAGTTAAATTAAATTTCTCATATGCTCCATATAACCTTTAAAGTATATATGACGCTGTCTAATTAGTAGAATAAAAACACAATCGTTTTGTAACTAATGACTTTTTCTACGACAAAAATACCTCTCCCTTTGCTTTTTTTTTAATCGTCAATTATTCTTTTTTGGAAAGTTTTTTTATTCGTCTCATTCTACTTTTTGCAACTTCTACCTTTTTAATAAATTCTCTACTTTTTATCGTCAACTTTCCTACTTATTTTAATGAATAAAGGGGAAATAAGTAATTCCTGATTCCCACAAGAAGAGAAATGTAGAAGCGAGAAAGGACAAATAGGTCCCGCCCCATGTATATTTCTTCTCAGTCATGAAGAGAAAGGAGACTAAAAAACACAAAAAATGAATATCATAACTTCTTTTTCTTTTTGAAAGGAACTTTTTTTTAGGAGGTAAGGGTCAGTTTGGTCCTCGAAGTTGCATAAAAGGGGTCAAATAAGTCCTTATAACGTCCTTACAGTCCGGGAGTCATCATTTGGGGCGGTTCCCAGTGGAATTTTTTAATAATTTTTTTGAGCATCTTATTCATTAAGTCTAGTTTACTGATACCAAATTTTATATAACGTCCGGGAGTCATCTTATAACGTCCTTACAGTCCGGGAGTCATCATTCGGGGAGGCATTCAAATGAAGTCTTGAAGATAACTGCACAGTTAAAAGCGCAGTTATCTTCAAGACTTCATTTGAATGCCTTTTTGATTTAAGTTTTATCTGAAATTTGATATGAGTAAACTCGATTTAATGAATAAGATGCTCAAAAAATTTCATCAAAAAATTCCACCGGGAACTGGCTCAAATGGCGACGGCCGGACAATAAAACGTTATAAGGACTTATTTGACCCTTTTTATGCAACTTCAATGACCAAACTGACCCTTACCTCCTTTTTTTAGTGTTGTTAAAAAGCACTTTTATTATAGTGATATGTTGACGCGTCACTTTTATTTTATACCAGTACCTTTTAACAATTAAGTTATTGAAAAAATACGTTTATATATAAGTAGCTGTGTGGAAAATGTTGTACGGAGTAGAAGTTACCCAAATAACAATTAAGAGGTCTGTCTTTAATCTGTGATTATTGGAGGAAAGCCAATCTGCTTTGTATGTTTTTTGTAGAAAAGCTCCAAGAGGCCAAATACGCTGAGGCATATCACATTATCACCTACTTGTATTGCATTGTTCCTCCTAAAACATACAAAATCAGGAACTGAATCTGTTCCGTTTTTTCTTAATACCTTCAAATTAAAGATAATGATATACACAGGGAGAGCGCTAGGAAAACGTTCAAGGAATGGCAAAACTGTCTCTAACTTGTCTCCAAGTGAAAGTAGATATGAGATAATTTTACAATTCCCTGAACCATTTCCTAAGCCCTCCTTGCTCCTATCGTTTTCCTAAAACTAATTTGTACTATCTGAAGCTATATCATCTCTACTCATGTTGCCCTCACTTCTATTTACAAGAGTATCAGAACTCAGCTGTTCATCTCTTTCTTTTTTTGTGTCTTGACTTGTAGTAGAATCTCCAGACAGCGAGTTCAAGGCAAGATTCACAGAGTAGAGGAACAATCCGATGGAGTTCATGCCGAACACAAACGTTGCAAGGTAACACAAGCCGTTAATGATTGTTCTGAAACATAATAGTTCAACTGTAATCAACATTATGGATCAACACTATTGGTGAGTTGATGACTTCATTAAGTTAGAAGACATACCTTATCGTTATTGTTATCTGACGAGCCTGAAAATGTTAAATGAAAATGAATGAGTAGAAAATGATGATGAAAGAAAACGAAATCAACATATCTTTTTTATTGATAAAAGTTCTAAAGACGGCACTAACTTGATGTGTAAATATAAGGGGAAATAGTACATTTTATATCCCAAATCATATACGCAGAACATCATAACTGAATTATTCAGTTCTTCAGTAGTCACCAACTCAAAATTGTTGGTCCTTGAATGGAAAGCAAAGTGGAACTCTTTGTCTCATACAAGGCCTCCGATATTAGTTCAAACGGTGGCACTTTTGGACCCTCAAGGACAAAATTAACTACTTTCCAATCAAGTCATGGACTATAGTTGGAGTTCGTCACTACTTATGAACTGCCCTTGTTTGGTTGGAGGACTTTGGAGAGGAGGGATGGAAAAGTGGAGGAGTGGTGTGTATTTGGTTTGGGGAGCCAGGTGGGAAGGGGAGGAAATCGGAGGAGTTATTGACTCCTCTAACATCCCCAAATTGAAGAAATTTGGAGGAAGTGTTTTTTTCTTAACATCTTTTTCACTTTTTTATACTACATTTTTTCTACATTATAGAAATAGATTACTATATTCCTACTTAGGACAAAAATGAACCAAAGGATAATATCATAAAAGTTTCAAATATTTCACAACAGTAATTTTTCTTCACTCTATGCAGCCAATCATGACATCTATTTGAACTCTTCCATAGTTCTCACCCATCTACCCCCATTCTCCTTCCCTCCACTCACCTATTTTGAACTAAACAAGGACTAAGTGAGAAGCCCAAACACTACAAGGCCACAACTCTATTCACACTCCGGGTGCATGACAGATTAACATCAAAATATCAAGTCATTTACTTGGGACACAAAACATTATGTTTGAGACTTAACTAATCACTCCTTAATAATAAGTGAACCAGGTTTACCAACTACCAAGTGTTCCTAAACAGTGCAATGTACTACAAAGTACAAACTATCATATACTTTCACTGCACAAGCTTAAATCCAGCGCAGAACAGAACTATGCCCTCAAGTTAGAATGTCATAATTGCTTGATCAAATTAAAATCCCATATGTAATAGAGGCAGTTCTTAGCATTTCTACATGAATAGATTAATAGAATAATACTACATAATATTAATAATAGCAATAGCAGCAGCAACAACAACAACAACAACACTACTATTACTATTATTATTAGATCCAATTAAAAGAAATTCTCCCGGCTAATATGAGAAACAAACCGAGTAATTGTCCGAGAGCGGTTGCTGACTGAGAGATGACTCAATAGTTGTAGTGAATTTGTATAGGATTAGCGCAACAACGCCTGCAATCAAACCACCCACGATTGCTTCACGGGGTGAAGCCTGCGGATCAACAGGTGTTGGCGTAATTGCTTTCAGACTCTCAATTGCATCATCTTTTGATATTTTCTTCACCCCGGATGACCTAAGTCTCTAATCCCAACAAGATGTGATCAATGCGTAAGGTTCAAAACTCTGAAATCAAAATCCAGAAGCTCATAAAGTTAAAAGGGAAGAAAAGCTGGCTCGACCATTTCTTTAGCACGCATGGCACGGCGGCGGAGAAACCTGAAGAGGAAGACGGAGAGGGAGCCAGTGAGGAGGAGACTGGCGGCGGATTGGATGGGATTAGGGTCGTCTGAGGATGCAAAAATAGAGGGAGTTGAAGACGGGAGCTCGATAGGCCCTTCCTCTGAAAGAAGTGGTGCCGGGGCGTTTACAGTAGGCGTGGTGGGCTCGTCCTGAGCATCTGCCAGCCATGGTTCCGGCGGCGCCGGTCGAATATTTTGGGCTCGCGCAGGACGTAGAGGCTTGATGCGTCTATAGACGGAGAGATTAGAGGGTGAAAATGATGGTTTGAGAGGGTGAAGAAAGGGGAAGATGGAGAATGAACTGTATTGTGCCTGCGACATTCTTCTGGTTTTAACGGATAGATAGATGATGAAGCAAGGGGAGGTGGTTTTTTCTCTTTTGTTTGGTCCATAAAATTATGTCCGTCCCTTTAATTTCTTTCAACTTTCTGTTTTGAGTTGTCCTAATTAATTCTTTCGACTTACACTATTAGAAAAAATATGTGGTTCACATTAATTCATCTTTTTCTTACACAATTACTATCATACATTTTCACTTTATTCTTTATATCTAAATTTACGATATCGATCAAAACCGAAAGAAATGATCGAGACGGAGGGAGTAGTTACTTACTTAGTGCTAATAATTTGACCAAGCAATTAGAGCACACTTTCATAGTTTCATATACCTAGTACATCTCCTCTCCCTAGAGGAACTTTGTAACCAAATAATTGTTCTCTTCAAATTCTTGAAATGTCATTTCAATGAAGATAATTTTATTGGCCGATTCTTCTATAAAAGAAAACCTTTATTCATAGACAATTCTACCAAATAATTGTTCTCTTCAAATACTCTAAACTTGTATATGTAATTTAAATACCCCGAACTTTTTATAAAAATTTATTTTCGGACCATTGTCATGTATTATGTCTTTCAAAAATGTAAATTTATGGGGTTAATTGCATAATTTAAAATAGCAAATTAAAAGTGTTGCAATTATATGAATTGGGGATAACATTATTTATTTCGCAATGGAAGTTTAGAATGTTAATCGTGTCTACATGAATACTAAAATATTTTAAATTATGCAATAAACATCATAAATTTACATTTTTGAATGAAATAATACTTGTCTATGGTGCTAAAATGACTTTTTGTATAAAGTTTGGGGTATTTAAATTGCACATGAAAGTTTGGGATAGTCTACATGTTCATCTCACACTCCTTCAAAATTTGGGGTATTTTAATTATCTTTCCCTATTTTAATTTGGTCATAGTTGATTCTTTACCAAGTCTACTCTTATACTCAGTATATACTCCGTATTAGTTAGAGATAATTACCCATATAGGAGTAAAACATAAAAATTATGCAAAAATAGGAGTCAAGCTTCCCGTGAAGTTTAATAGGAGTAAAAAAGGGATAGTCTGACATAAATACCCTTAATGACTCAAGCTTCGTTGTTTATTAATAATTTAAATAAAAACATTAAAAACAAACAATACAACAACCAGACAACAACATAACCCTAGGGCTGATGACCACCTTCTTCGCCACCACCGATGTCGCCGCCGCCGGTCACGTCATCTAGCATCGTCGCCGGTCACATCATCTACTGTCGCCACCGGTCACGTCATCTACCGCCACCGCCGTCGGTCACGTCATCTAAGCTTGCCACCGCCTCCACGGTGTCATCGCCGCCACCACAGGCACCGCGGCCTCATCCACAATCTATCACGACAAATCTCATATCTGATCTCTGATTTGGCATGCTATCATGGAAATGTCATCTTGTAGTTGAAGTGTCATCTTAATAACATCATTGCAATCCTGATATAATAAAATGACATTTTTCAGTTTGAAAAACATGGCAATACTGTACTTCCAAAGAAATAGTATATTGCCATCTTTGTACCGTTAGTGCCATAAAGATGACAATAAGTGTCGAGATAATACTTTCACATACTGTATTTCCAAAGAAATAGTATATTGTCATGTTTGTACCGTTAGTGTCATAAAGATGGCAATAAGTGTCGAGATAATACTTTCACATAGAAAAACATGGCACTATTAGTAATGTCATAAAATTACCTTAAAATAGTGATAATGATAATTTGTGGTTAAATAATATAAGTAATTTGAAGAGTTACAACAAGTTTTCAAAAAGAAAAATTTTGAAAATGAAAATAGAAATCAAGCAATTCAAAGCACCATCTTAATTCAAAAAGTTTCTAGTCCCCAACTTCATTATTTCAACCGTAAATAAAAAATCTAGTTTTTTAAAATGAAAGTCTCTGTCACAGAGCAAAGGAAATAAAGGTGAAGAGGAAGTGAAAGAAAAGAAGAAGTAGAAATTAATGCTTACCTACACAATCGCCGCCCGCCGTCGACCAGTACTACGGTTCAAGTTGAGAAGGAAAAATCGCCGTCAAAACTTTGTAATTCGCCGGAGATGGAGTAATTGTTAGATCCGTCGGAAATTTTGGGGGAGAAAATATGATGGATGATGTGCCGCGGGAAGAGAGAGAAGGGAGATGCAAAGAGATAGCTTATGTGATGGAGATACAAGCAGGTGAAGAGATATGAATGAGAAGAGAGGAGAAAAGAAGTGGCTGGGAGAGCATATGCCTGATACGGAAGATTAAAATATCAGGAGGGTAAGATAGAGATAATATAAAAAAACTCCTATTTTGGGAATAAAAAAACATAAAGTCCTATTCTTGCATTATTCTTATACTTTAGTCCTATTTAGATCAAATACTTTATTAGTTACTCCATATTTCTTTTATTTCTCCATTCAACACAAGTTGAGTCGGCCCATTGTGGTGCCGGAGGTCGTATGCAGCTCTGACATGCATCAAACATGGTTCATTCGTGCTCAGTTCCTCGCTCACTCAATTCTCACCATTTTCTACTTTCAATCTCAAGACATGTGAAATAGGGGTAGGCGCGGTCCGGAATGGTTTGGTAAACTAGTAAAACCCGTAATGTATCCGCTAGGTTTTTAACGGTCCGGTACGGTCCGGTTTCAAGGATAGAATCGTTCGGTACCATGCCATTTCGGAATGGTACAAAATGGTACGGTACAATGCCAAACACATGCTAAAAAATTTGAACAAATCTTGCAATTGGTAGATATCTTCACACCAACCAACTCACATGAAATATTGATATAAATACAAGAAATTGCATATGTAGTACTAAAATTCACAAATACACAAATAGTGCAACGCAACTAAGAAAAGTATAGCAAAACGATGACGCACGAGATAAATATCATCTTTAATTTACTAAGTTTATGTGAAAATATAAAAAAGAATATCATCAAATTATTCAATATAATAGAAATCTTCAATGTTCTTCTTCTCCATTCTAGGTTAAATATTACATATTAATATCTAATTTAATTTATAGTTGAACCTTGAGAGCTAAGATTTAAACCATATTAATTAAGTTGTAAAATTGCGCAAACATGATACCACAACAAGTCATGTACACTACATTACTAGAAATGAATAGTCCTTAATGATTTCTAAAATTTTAATATTCTTTCAATACATATCAAAATATAACATAAATTATCTAAAAAGGAAAAATAACAATATATATAATATAATCACACACATTTAGCTAGTTTAGGAACGCATGAATACATATGTGGGCTATAAAATTGTTTGTCTATAAAAGAGATCTATTGGTATAGATAAATTATAAAAAATTCAAATGCATTATTTTCGAACGGTTCGGTCCGGTATTTTTCGGTTCTCAAAATCTAGGACCGGTCCCGTACCCGTTTCAAACGGTTTAGTTTCGGTACGGGAAAAAAATCTATAGAACCATTTAAATACCAAGTATTCGATTCGGTACCATTACGGGACGATTCGGTACCGGTTCGGTTCGGGTTTTATGCCCACCCCTATTGTGAAGTAAGCTCTAGAAGAATGGTTTTTGCGTAGAATCCAAGATACTATACCTAGGTCTCATATAAATATATAATAATGAACGGTCTTGAAATTGAAAACAGAGAATTAAACATGGTGAAGATATGAGAGTAATTTGATGATCAAATTAAAATCGAACATATGATCTAAATTCACGAGTTACCTGAAATAATCTCTAGCGTAGATTATCCCTTTATGGTGTAAATGAACATTTTTATAGCTCAAATTAGAGATGAGTTGGTCAAACGGCTAAAAAATGGAACCCGGCTGAAAAGCAAATCGAAAAAAATCTAGAATCCAAACCTTCAATCCAAAGTAATAAACCAGTGTCATTTTGATTTAATAGTTACGTAAACGATTTTTAAATATATACCACATGATGTTTGAGTACATGCATGATTTAATGAAACAAAACTAAGTGGGGTGTTCAATATGGAGTATATTTCCGTATACTCTAGGGGCAGGTCAGTCCTGTCCATTTCTGGGCCAATGAGCGGTACTCTATTTTCGGCCTATATCCATTATAAGCAGTAAATCATATTTGAGCAATGAAGTTCTTAAAATAAAGATAAGAATCGCTTTATTATTATATAAGTTACATATTTGGACAAAAGTAATAACACAAATATCAAATAAAAAGAAAAAGCATTACTTAAAAACGTTTCTCGTAGACCAATGTGAAACAAATCATTAATAATTGCTTCATAGGCAACCTTCTTTCCACTAATAAATATGACGAACAATAAAATTGCCACATACGGAGTATAACAACAGTAAACTTTCGTTTGAAAGGATAAATGAAAAGAAATGTTACCACATATTGAATTCATAAGTTGAGAATTATTTATTGACCGCTGATGAGAGTCTAAAGTTTGAAGTCTCAAAAGAATGAAGGTTTTCGAAAAGAGAAAATGTTTGGCTGACAAGAGGACTCGCACAAGAATATTGCAATTTTGACGCCCTCTAAAAGTATTAATAGGAACTCAGATATAGCTTATTGAAATTTGGAAAAAAATGAATGATTGAAGTGAAATTTGAGAGAAATGGGCTCTAAAATAATTATATAAATTTATTATGTTGTAATTAAATTGAATAAAAAACCTTAAAAGCTAAAGAGATGTGAGGACTAGAGAGACGTGTCTTTTGTTTATACAACAACAATTATATTGCTTTTAAAAACTACAACCTATCCTTCTAAAAATTAATGTATATATTATTGATGGATAGTGTACCCGAGGGTAGCTTATCCGAGGGGTTATTACAGTGAATAACTTAGAGAGAAGTCAAAGCAATAAGTAAGAGAGAGTAGGTATTCGATATATCAATTGTGTCTATTACAATGGAAAACGGTCGCTATTTATAGTAGTCATAAATGCTAAGCAAAGACATGTGTCAAACACCTGACGCCCGAGGGTCATCTCAATCGGGGTGGCACCGGCATTTGCATGTGCACCGCATTAAATGCGGTGGTTGAACGTGACACCGCATTAAATGCGGTGGTTGCCTGTCTCTAAAAGGAATCTTCGTCGAGTCTGATGTATGTTGAAGGTCTAGGTGTGGCCGAAGGCATCATATGGCTGAAGACATCATGTAGCCGAAGGCATCATATAGCTGAAGGCTATGTACAGTCGAGGGCATGAAATAGCCGAAGGCTAACATTTTTGCCAGAACTTCCCGGAACTTTGCAGTTCCACGCCAAATTTTCTCCTAGAATTTTTGGGGCCTTCGGCCATAGGGCCGAAGGCATTCACATATGCAATGTGGGCTTCTTCATGCTTGCGCCGCTTTGTTTGGGCTTTGTGTGCTCATTGGGCTTGATGGGTCCGTGTAGGTGAAGCAGGAGTCTGTGGGCCGGGGGTCCTCGAGTCATATACTCCATCAATTATGTTATAATTGTCTCTGTTTAAGACTCTTTATTTATGTTTTAAATTTTCAAATTGTCAACAAAATTAATCATTAGGCGTAATTAATTGAACTTAAGAATAAAAAAAGAAGCATACTCACACTATATATAAATAAACAATTTTGGGCCTATTTTTTCTTCTATTTTTTTCGGGCCTAGGGCAGTCGCCCCTCTTGCCACTCCTTACTTCCTTAGAACCAGCCCTGCATAGGGGTATCACAATTGGCGGACAAAGACTTCCAGTTATATCAAACACTTAAGTACAAAAGCTACGACCGAGGCCAACCTCAAGGAACGAGTTCAGGACTGGACACAAGATGACGAATCAACAAAGTACGGAGACCCGTCCAAGGCTGACCTCGACCCTCTGAGGTCAGCGTCAACATCGAGCTCGCAGATCACCAAGACAAGGCAAAATACGAGACCGACCTCGATCACGCCGACGTGGATACCAAGCCTGACCTCGGGCACTCACACAAAGTCAACGAAAGCCAAACAAGAACGAAGAAATGACCATCACTCGATAAACCAAAGGCCAGGAGAGCCTACCCGTACAAATCCACTGTACCCGAACTCCGACCTCTTGGAACTCAGGGTCCCATTTACTAAACGTGGACTTAGACATTTCAGCGATCCAAGTATCCCTCAAAACTACCGCCACGCCATTCCAGCAGAGAAAAGAAAGAATATTCCGGATAACACACGTGTAACCCACACGTGTGTTCTGGTACAAATCCGTTGCATACAGTACCAATCAGCCAGTTGTGGTAGCTATCTCTCCAATCACCTTTACACATGCCACTTTGTTATTAGGGTAGTACATTTGTTCTGTTAGATGGACGAGACACGTGTCTCCACCACAATAGAATAACATCTTTTTTAGTTGTTAGCCAAGTGTTTCTCCATTAGTATAAATATCACCTTCCAATCTGTGGGAAGAGATCCGAAAATTTCTCTATGTAAACTTGATGTTACTTTGCTAAAATTTGTACTCGATCTCACTTATACTTCTCCGCCCTTCTCACTTTCCCGGATTCCGGCTACCCCAGGGTCGGCGATCCATCATCTAGTTATCCTCAATTCGAAATTTCTAAAATTTCACTAAATTTCAATTTCTAATTAAGAACTTTGTCTAATTGCTCAATTACTTTACCAAAATAGTGAATATGTTTTGTTTTTAATAATAAGAAACCACAAAATGTTTTTTAAAAGTAATTTTTTGCTGAAAAAATCATTTTTTACCAAAAACAATGATTGTTTTACTAAAAAATCATTTGTTTTTGCAAAAAAAAAATGTTTTTTTGCAAGGGTTTATTTTGTGATGTAACACATGTTATGAAAAATGTAAATCGCGTTGATGAAAAATCTAATTTAGGTGTATGCAAAATGTAACTTGTTAAGACAAGTCCAAATGTAAGTTGCGCATAAAAAAGATATAACTCGCAAATAAAAAGATGTAACTACATATACTATCAAATGTAAACAACGAAACGAGGAGTTTAATTGCTCAAATAATTAAAGTAAATAGTTAATATGTTTTTTTAGTATTAAGGCCATAAAAAATGTTTTAAATGAAAATAATTTTTTCCCCAAAAATGTTTTAAATGAAAATAAACCTCATTTTTTTTGCAAAAATGAGGTTTATTTTGTGATATAACTCGTGTTATGGAAAATGTAACTCGATCCTTATTGAAAGCCCATTTTGAATTAAAGATAAAAATCTTACTCATAATACACCATTTTGAAAGGGGTCCAATTTATTTATTAATTAAAAATAATTTCATATCAATTTGATTTGTATGACTAAATAAAAATAAAAAGTACCACTTGGAACTCTATCATCCGAATGGGATAACAAAAAAATTTTAAAAAGATGATTTGGAATAGCAACTTCCGAATGGGATTAAAAAATAGTAAAAAAAAATTGTTCAGAACATGTGTTTCGGAATGGAGATATTTGCGTGAAACCCTAAATCTATTCAGAATGTATTTTTTCCCGTGCTTTTGGCATCCATGTTAAGTTTTCCCGTGTTTTGAGAAAAGACCCCAGCATGAGCATGGTGGATCGATCTCACCGTATAATTTGCCAATCATCTCGATCTTATTTCAACAAAACACTCGCATTGGAGAGCTAGAAAGGAGCGCCGATTGAGAGAATGGATCAGAGAACATCGCCAAATTATTTTCACATTGTAAGAAAACGGTCACCATGAAAAGGAAGTTTATATGATTAATATTCAATTGATGAAGTGAAAATAAAGTAAACAAAAATTAGAATCACAAAAGCATCGCCAAATTTAGTACTCCGTACTATGTATGAGACAATCTTATTGGATTCAGAGATCGAAAAGAAAAAAGGATGAGATAATCTTAATTAACAGGAAGAAGATAATAGTATTTTCCCAGTTTTTATGGTTATCTAATTAGTTGATATCATTATAATGATGTCATTATAATTGCACTATTTACAATACAATTATTAACAAGGAAAACGTAACGAGAATGATATTAAATTTATCAAACATAATGGACGGAGTATTATTTAATTAATTTGTGATGAACCAAGATAAGTTGACCAAATAATGAGTGAATATACTAATGAAAGAGTTATACTCATTATATAACAAAATATGACTGAATAAAAATTAATAAAATGAAGACAAACATCTAACATGTCAATATGTTATTGCCAAGAACGAATAAAAAAACGTCATTGTCTTGGGTCATACATATTTGTAAGATTGTAGAAATATTTGAAGATGTATCCAATAACAATATCAAGAAACAAGGTAGATTCAGTGTCAAGATTTAGATCTCGATCCTTTTGTGTTGTAGCCGAGTGGCAGGTACATGTAATTAGACGACCATTATGAAATGTGGTGTGGAACTCAAAAATCGACCCTGTCCATTTTCAATTTTAGTCTCATAACTTTCAGTGCTATTCAGTATTAGTTTTTAACTTTAATCGCTCGCAAATTAGATCTTATAATTAATAGAGTAAATGTGTGCAATTTAAGGTTTTTCCATCAGAAAGAACATCTTACTACACAAATTTCAACGTTGGTGAAATCTTTTTCAATTCATTTTTTGCCGGGAAGTGTAGGCGGAAAAGTCATTAATTTTGCAAAGGTTTATTTGTTACAGGTCCTAATGTGAAAACAAGTTAACTTATAGGACCAACAATGGAAACAATTGAAAATTGCGGAACTAAAATTACAAAACTCCTACTGATTTACTTGTGGTCCTTCTGGATCGGGCAACTGGGAGGAGAGCTATGTCACGTTTGGCAGACATAAGTCTCTGTCTTTTAGCTTTTGTACTATTTAAAAAGTCTCTAAAAGCTTCTAGTTGTATGTTTGGCATGACAATTTTTACAAATTTTTCAAAAATTAAAACATCTTTTTTGAGATAGTATATATGATGATATATAAATCTGTTTTCAACTTTTATCCAAATAAAATACTAAAGTTTATTTTACTTTTAAACATTTTAACTTTTACGGAGTACTTTTTAAAACATTGGCTAAATTTTCAAGACAAAAAACTCATGTGGTACTCTTTTAATGCCAAAACAAAAACGGAAACAAAATTACAAAAAGAAGCCGGTCAACTTGTTTCCACGTCTCTTCTACATTCATTGAATCAATTGAGAGAAACAATTCTCTCTTGATTTCTTCTTTGCTTTTTCTTCATTTCCATTTCTCTCTTTTCGTTAAAGCTATTTCTTTCATTCTTTGCAAACCTAATCAGTAACCAAACCAAAGTATCACTTCTCTGTTTTTTCTCTTCTCCCCGTTTGTGAATTACCCTACAAACAAGCCAGTGTTAAATTACGTACAATAATTAAGAATTGATTATATTACATTAAAATCAATGTTCAGTATGTAAACAAATCTATGTTGATAGAATATACTCATATAGTAACGCCTTAATGATTTGAATCACACTTATGTAATAAAAGTAATAATAATTGACATAAAAATGTTATAAATTTATTAATGAAATACGGTAATGTCATTTCTATTAGTGAAAACTTGATTATATTCCTTTTATAACAAAACCCATTCTTACAATTTGTAAAATAAGTAACCCTCTTAGGAGAATATTTTGATGTATGACTTTTCTTTGTCTGTAAAGAATCCTTCCGTACTAAGCAAACGAAACAAATATTCCTTTTTTTTCTTTCTCATTTTGTTTGTTTCCGTTTGTTTTGTTTTCATTGAAAGCCAAAATCTTGTGTGCTTTCTCCAATCCCAAAGAATGTTCTGAAAAGCTAAGTACACATATTTGAATAGAGAACTCAAATGTACTTTGGATATACAATATGGTACAACAATGTCTGAGGACTAAAAATTAACATGAAAGAATTGATAGAAGTTAAGTTTGGTGATGAAAATTAGCACTCTTGGCGCACATTTGATGCCACAGTTCTTGCCCAAAACCTGATATGTGCTTTCATGTCCTGTGCTGATTTCTTGCCTGCTCCCCCGCTCTTCGGTGGCGGCCCGAAGCTCTTCCCCTGCCATACCTCCTCCAATGGATTGCCTCTTTTGCTCACCTTTTCTTTGTCTTGTAAGCTTACAGCCAAGTTCTTGAACTTTTGTAGTTCATCAATATCTTGAGTAGTACTAGTATGACCATTTCTTGTCTTGGAATTGTAATTTGTTGCATAACCTGTTTTTCCCTCTCCTGCATCACTGGCCGAAATGGCGCTGATGCTCTCCGTTGGCTCGTTTTTTAGTTTAGAGAATGTAGAGACACTGCAGCTTCTTCTCACTCCCTGGCACACAAAATGTTCACAAAAAGTAAGAATTAGCCATTCTTAGATGACAAAACACCCTAAAAGTGTTCCCTATAATTTCATCCTGAAAGCCAGACACCATAGTGTAACCATAAACAACTTTTTTAAATATAGGGTGATCAAGAAAGAAAATTTATTCCTAATCCTTACAACTTTTACTCAAAAAACTTTACACCTCAAAAAAGGTTTCATATCTTGGGATGGGCCCGAACACAGGTTTCATATATGTCTTTTACATCTTCATATTTGATAGATTGAGACTTACTGGATCAAACCAATCTTAGGGTCCTATATGCTCATTACTGAAACTTTAGAGGATCAAATTTGGTTATTAGAAGTTTAGAACTTCAGAGAATCTATCTTGAGGGTACACCTTAACATGTCAATAAGAGGATTAGTCCTAGACTTTAAATATTGATGTGTACTAAGTACCTTCCCCCCAAAAAAAGTTTAGTCCAATATAAAACCATGGAATTCAATTTCCAAACTTCAATATAGATTTTCATCTCCTTATTAAAGATTCAGGAGTAAATGGGATTGGGGATTGTAGAACAAACAATGAAATCAGTACCTTGGGAGTTTGTCTTGGGGGGAGAATTCTTGATGGGTTTAATGATGTTTGTCTGAGCAGAAGTTTGGGTGGCTTTAATGATGCTTGTCTGATCAATTTTCCCATACAAAAATCACTTTCATCATCATCATCTTCTTCAGCCTCTTCATTATTGTCGGCAAAAATGGGCAGAGAAGGTGCTCTTAAAAGGCTCTTACGCAAAGATTCTTTAATCATTGGGCCATCTTCTTTCTGTGCAGGGTCGGGTTCTTGCTTGAATGTCACGTTTGGTGGCATTGAAGGTGTCTTCTGCATACCGCCGGCCCGGCCCAATAACCTTCTCCCTTCTGGAATTGATCTATTGATTGAAGAAAAGGTTTCCTCCATGGATTTCCCAGGCGGCAACATGGAACTATCAGAATAGCATCTGGAAATCCTTGGTTTTCTGTCAAAGAAATTGCCAAAGAACCAGCTTTCATCAAGAAGCTCTCCAGGCTCTTTCTTTTCTTGATTTTCACTACTCCCAGGATTGTGGGAGGGCTCAATTGGAGGAACAGCTTCAAGAAAATCCATAGGAGGAGGAAGGAGGAGGAGGGCACCAATCAGAGGTTTTATTATAATTATTTTTTGTATAAAGTTTGTATTTTTGTAAAAAAGAAAGAGTGCTCACAATTGGATCTGGGATTGAATTGTCTTTATTTGTGGGTTCCTGAGGAAAGGCTGTCAGAACTCTCGGATTAGGTTTTGATTGGAGAGGCCAAGTCGGATTCGGACATCATGTGCTGCTTGCGTAAGATTTGGAATCATCGTTTTGATTCATCTAAGCCAAAGTTCAATGAAAAAAGAAATAGGCCTTGTTTGGTAAATGGTTGTTAGCTGTTGCTGGTAGCCGGTTGTGTCATCTGTTTCGAAACAGCTGGTTGTGTTAGCTGTTTTGACCGACTGGTTATGTTGGCTGATTATAAATAACTGTTTGGTAAAATTGGCTCTTTCGAAATGGCTGATAGAGTGTAAATTGAACCAGCCAAATGAAGAAGCTGCTCCCCTTAGCTTCTTCCACAATCCATTTTTTCAGTTTTTCAAACTCAACAAACTAATTTTAAAAGCCATTTACCAAACATTATTATGAGCTTCTTTGACTAATCAAACAGTTGAAATGGGTCAAACAAGCTAAAAGCTGGCTGATAAGCCATTTGCCAAACATACCCTATTGTACATATCAAGATAATGAGTACAACCATGCTTGATGTACACACCATTGTACATATCTTATACACATCATGTTTGTGAAGCTTTTTTTTTTGTGAATCCGGTTCACAGACAGAATTTTGTTTTTGCAAAACATTGTCTATGAATCGATGTTCACAGACAAAAAGAAAAGCTTTAACAGACATAGGTGTGTACAAAAGTGTGTATAAGAGTGTGTACAAACATCATTTTTGTAATGAGTATAATGTCATAAATAATTGTGCATAGGAGAGAAAAATGTGTAACAAATATTATGAATCACAAATTCTTTATAAAAAAAATATAATGAAAGTTTGATTAAGACGGATGAAAAAAGAAAGTTGGAAGTTTTTTCACGGAAAGTATCATTTACTTGCTATCTTTAGTTATTATTTAAAATATGTACTACCTCCGTTTTTTATAATTTTGCCAAAAAATTATGCCACTTACCGTTTAAGCAACCACTTCGGTGGTTTTAGTGTTTTACTAGTAATATTCATTTCTCATCTATATAAATATAAGTTATATACAAAGTACTTTTACTTTATTATTTCATATATCTGTCAAATTTGACAAAAGAGAGCATTATGTAAAAATTTCTTCTTAATGTCTCACTATGTTTATTTCATTTTCCCTTTCTTCTATCTCATTTTTCTACTAAATTTTTATACCCGGTACTATATTAGGTACTCGTAATATTTGCTTAATCAAATTTATATATAGTACGGACTACAGAGTGTACAAATTGAGTACTTGTATAAGTTATGCAAATTCATATTTGTTGACATAATTTTCTCATGTCCCAAATAGGGAGAGACAAAAGTAGTATATGGAAAATATTAAATTTGTCACAGTGTAAATTTATTGTTTAGTTTGTGCGAATTCTAACTAATTAATTAATAGTTGATCGGGTAGTGAAATATGAAAATTGAATTGTTGCAAATATGAGCATAGCTAGGTGGGCGGGCTCAAGCTCTGAATCCTCTGATTCGCGCCAAATTTGGTAAAATCTTTATTTTGTGTGAAAATAATTGTGCAAAAAATACATTAAAGAATTCTTTGTTCTTGATCACCCAGTAAATTATCTGGCAACGCAACTAAAAATATTACATTCCTTCTATTTCTATATTCAATTTATCAAGTTTCTTTACTTAGACGTTTTAAAAGACTTGGCGTTTTCTATGTAAGGAAATACATTTTTGCTCTACCCAATATCATAAAGCATATGTACCAATCTGTACATATGAAAACGCAAACCTAATGTTTGTTTGCATACAATAGCCTTACCGGTCAATTTATAGGCTATGTAGATATATTTTCACAAAAATATGTGGAGAAATTTCACATAAATTATACAGATTAATTGCACAAACAGAATCATCATTGTTTTGTTTCGAAAATAAAAAACGTCCACTCTTATTTGAGAAATTTCATACTTTCATTAGAACCAAATAAATTTTATTTTGGGATCAAACATATCTATTCATATTTGCGTACTTTGTGTAGCTATGTTTTAAATCTATTTGGAACAATTTCTTTTGATAATGACACCAATCGGTACAAAAGGCATTTTTCATAAAACAAGATGAAGCATATAACGATCTAGAGGTGCATGTAGGTATTTCTCTACCTTCTAGTTTTTGTACTGTTCAAAAAGTCTTTCAGTTTCTAGTTATATGTTTGACAATGTAATCTTTAAGAGCTTTTCAAAAATTAAAAGATTTTGTTGAGATGCTACAGAGAGTAGCATCTGAAAAAAGCCCGTGACTTTTAGTATTAATTAGTCCTAATAACTTGTATATCAAACTGAACTAAATTAAACAATCACCTTTTTACCAAACTGCTACCACCTTTTTTCTTTAACATCTTTTCAGTCAGTAAAAGTTAACAGTTATTAAAAAAACTGACGAAAGAATCTTTCGTGACAAACATACCCATAATCTGGTAAACTTTAATTATGCCGTAGTGCATGTAATTTATAACGTGTAAGGTTAATTGTCAACGACAATAACATAACGAAATTGAAAAGTTACTGGAGGAAAAACGTGACAATATAAGTGTGTTTCCAACTTGAATGATAAAAAGTTGGCATGAAAAAACAGGAATTCTGGATCAAAGTGCAACTTTCACTAAAAGATTCAATTTTAGCAATTATTCGCAATCATTTTAAGAGGTACAAATGGATGGAGTGGTGTTGTATCCCGCCACATTATGTCACTTATTATTGCACATGGACTACGTACCTAAAATACACATGGATTTTCAATTTTAGGGTCCGTTTAATAGTACCAAAACATGGTTTTTTTTTCCAAAATAGGACCAATTAGTTTAAACATTCTTAAATAGGACTTTTTATGTGTGATTGCACCAAAATACCCCCACTGCTGCCCCTGGACCTTCGGCCTGCCGCCTGCCGCCAGACCTCCGGCCAGCCGCCTGCCGCCAGACCTCCGGCCAGCCGCCTGCCGCCAGACCTCCGGCCACTGCCGCCGCCGCCGGAGCACCGCCGGAAAATTCCAAAAAATATCTGGCTAGCCGCCAGATTCTGCCGCCGCCAGACCTCCGGCCACCGCCGCCGCCGCCGGAGCGCCGCCGGAGCACCGCCGGAAAATTCCAAAAAATATCTGGCTGGCCGCCAGATTCAGCCGCCGCCACCTCCGCCGCCGCAATGGTGTTTATCAGAATTTATTGTTTATTTATTGTCTACTTATTGTCTATTTATTGTCTATTTAATGTCTGTTATTTTTTTGCCGCCGCCGGAAACCGCCGCCATTGCCGCCGCCACCGGAAACCGCCTCTTCCGCTGCCGCCGAGCTGCCGCCACCTCCAGACTGCCTTGGTTGTGCAAGGAAACTAGGGGGACAATTATTTAGATCAATTAATTAATTAAATAGAATTGGGGGTAAAAAAGGTAAGGTTAGTCCTATTTAGAGAAAAACATGCATGTGGTCCTATTTTGAGAAAAAGGTTGAGTTTTAGTCCTATATTGGACAATTTTCTCTTTCTTCTTTATCTTCAACATCAAATACTCTCTCCTCAGCATAAAAATGTTCTCATTTTAAAAGTAAGGAGATTAAGAGCCCGTTTGGTAACCTTTTTTTCGGCTTATCAGGTTTATTAGCCAGTTTTTTCACCAAACACGTAAATTTTTATTTCGCGCGCTGAATTGTGTAATAAGCAGAAAAAGTAAGGTTGTTACTTTTCTGACTGTATTGGCTGAAGTTGCTGTAGAAGATCATTTTAGCTATTTTTCATATAATTTTCTATTTTATTTATTAATAGCAAATATTTTAAATATAATTTTTTTAAGAATCAGTAGAATCAGCCAATACAGCCACTTCAGCCAGAACTTCATAAATTTCAGCAGAATCAACCAATTCAGCCAATTTTAGTGTTACCAAACAGGTTCAAAGAATAATGAAAGAGGATATAAATTATTGAGGATATAATGAGAAGATAGTGGAAATGTGGAATAGTGTGATGTAATGAATGATAAATCCAAAAAATGTAGTTAGATTCTAATATTGTATTATTTTCAAAATTATTAAGGATATGATTAAAAGATTCAGAAATGTGAAAATTATTTCATTACTATCAAAATGAGAATTTTGATTTTTTCTTTACAGAAGGAGCATATGTAAATTGATTAGAATTGTTCGAAAACAGCCGTAATCAAGCCTCTCGTTTGCTCCTTTTCACACTTCATTGCACGTTTTTTGAAGAACATTTTAGATGAGTGTTACAAGGTAAATAAATAGAATCATAAGCAAAGTAGAATAATAATTTAAGAAATCGTTCAAAATGGTACTAAAACATGGATTAAATTCCAAAATGAGACTTCAATTTTTTATTTCCTAAACAGGACTCCAGATTACACTTTTACCCTTCCTCTGATTAAACCCAATATCTCCGCTCTCTCCGCTCTGTGCGTGCGACTTCTTCCGCGCATCTACAATTTCTCCCATCGATGCCGCCACTTTCCGATCGAAGCCGCTGCTCTTCATATTGGAGCCGCTGCTCTTCAGATAGGAGCCGCTGCAATTCCTCCACCGCTGCAATTCTCCGGCCAAGCTTTGCTCCCATCTCAATCTAGGTCTCTGAATTTAAGCTGCCTTCTCTTCAGTCCAAAAATTGTCTGCTCAACAATCTCTCACTAACAGGTGCAGGACGAAGTAGCTCCCTATTTCAAATAGGAGTTATTCTTGTTCACTTCTTCTTCCTCCTTCTCATCTTCTTCAATGTCCTCTGTTTTCTTATTCTTTGATTTTGAATTTTATTCATTCATTAACTTTGATTAATCTGGAATTTAAGAATGCCATAATTAATACGTAGTAATATTTAGACAAATGTCACTTTTATGGCATTGCACCTATTAAAATGACATTATTATTTTTTACAAGCAATTAGAAAAATGTCATTTTTATGACATTATATTTATCAAGATGATAGTATGTCATGAAATTGACATCGTTACTCAAACAACTGACACTTTAAATATGTCATTTTTGTTTTGAAAATGTCATGAGAATGACATTATTACTTTTTG